CAACAGAAATACTGCCAAAGGTACCTTCCTGTCTAACGGACACTGCATGCCGTCGAAGGTATTCTCTATCCTCCTCAACCACTCCTCAGCTGCTCTGGGCTCAACAGCGCCCTCAAACCTCAGAGGTTTCAACCTCAAAAACATCTGGAGATGTCTATCAATATCATCAGATCTGACGGTAGAAGCTCTGCTCTGAGTCTCGTTCATCATCTGAGCAACAAGTGTCGCAAACTGAGACAGTGTATCATCACCGGCCACTGGGGCTGTACTTCCCACTGGTGCTGCCTGACTGGCACTCTGTCCGGCTGTCATGTCTGGGTCTGGCTGATCCATACAGAAAATCCAAAAAAATTTGAAAAACTATCACAAAAACAACACAATAAAAAGCCAAACAAACTAAAACTATCCCAAACAGACTCACTAACAGATCACTGCCTATAGCTCTGTCTTACACAATCCAATTTCAAAAACCATTGCTCTGATACCACCAAAAGCTTGTCACGACCCGACCCGAGACGGATCCCGCCCGCACCGGGCCGCGACCAGCTTAACGAAAAGACAGACCAGGATATTGCTTTGGAATTTGCTTCGGAACTGATTCTTCCAAATATTTCAACTCAAAACAGACAACATAGAGCTACTATGAAACATCAAATGCAACGAAACAATTCATCTATATTTTTCTTTTCCTCAAAACAATCATCTACAAATACAGTACATGGCTGACAGAAAGAACACAAAAGAAAAGTCATGACTGTACAAAAATTAAAAAGTACAAAATACCTATAACTGATCTGATCAGACTCTGAACTCTAGTCCAAGACCTCCTTCCCTTTCCCAGAGCCTAAAAAACACACACAGAAAAAAATAAGGGTGAGCTCAACAGCTCAGCAAAGCAACAAACCTCCAATCAAAACTTCCATAATCCAAAACCAAACACTCCAAACAAAATCCGTACAAAAATCAGAACAGAATCAGACATGTATCAAAATCGTGCAGATCAGAACAAAACAAATCAAATCAGAACAGATACGGAACAGATCAAACAGAACTGTACGGAAACAGAAGTCATATCAAATCAGATATCAGATAATATTGTAATTAATAGCTAAATACCATGACACTGACAGAATCTCTATGGATTCCGGCCCCTTATGCCTCCCTTTGTGCTCACGGCACCAGAAAAGCTGTGCTTATAGCACCAGAACAGATGTGCTTATAGCACCAGAACAGATTTCATCGGATCCGGAACATAACAGATATTAGATTTAAGATTAAGCTCATTTCAGATTTCTCAGATACTAACTGAATCTCTTAGGATCCAGGCC